TGGATGTAAAATATCCTTCTTTCTTTATTGTCAGTCTCATCAAAAATCCTGCAGACAGGGCAGACTTGAAAATGTTGATGGTGAGTGTCCTTTGTTAGACTTCAGTTGCACAAGCATTTGTTCACACTAAAGATGGAGTCATGTTGTTTAAGAGATGTATTTATCGATGTCTGGTATATTAATTGAATGTGATTGTGTTTGTCATGTTGCAGAACCACACATTCATCAAGCGCTCTGAGGTGGAGGAGGTAGACTTTGCTGGCTGGCTGTGTAAAACTATGGGACTGAACCAACCTAGTCCCACACGCACTTCAGACTAATTACACACATCTGAACAAACGATGAATGTGTGTAAACAATCTTGAGATTCTGTGACACAAAACCTTGAACCCACATACACACTTTGTTTGCAATAACCCTCCCTCAGGTGAGCCTGGGGAGTCTCTATCTGTCGAATGAACTCTGATCACTTTTTTGGAAAGGTACTGTACACTTTTGTGTCTTTTTTCATTGGTTATTACTGATTGTGTTAAGTTCATGATTTTTTCAGTCATTCAATATGTTATAGATAATGAAAACCTATAGCTACTAGATTAAAATCCTGTGTCAATTTAGCTCAGTCTAATTTTGTCCCTGTTATTACAACCATACCATGTGATGTTAAATGTGTTTTGCTGACAGATATTAGGATTTTCTTTAGTTTACAGTGGCTGCCCAAACTATTGACAACTGGGAGAAAAAAAGGAAAAGTAACATGCACAATATAGCTGCGTAATTCTTCTGCTCTCAGTTTTCTCCTGAGAATTTCTCAGATGTGTTGTCAGGCTTACAACAGCCACTTCTTGCTATCACGGTTCAGCATCTGTAAATGTGAGCAGGCAGATTAAGTTTGACACTGTTAGTGCAAACAGGATCAAAAATGTTAGAATACGTTTATTTTATTAAGCAGGTTGGCTATATGTGTCCTTGTAAGCATGACTGGGTTCAATGTCTGTCTTTGCATTTGTTACTATTTAAGATGTCTTGAGGTGAACCACAATGTTAAAAAAAAAAACATTTAGGCATGACCCTCATTTCAAAGCCAAAAATAAAAAAGTTTCAACCTTATATGTGCTCTCTGCTCCCTCTTTATGTGGAGGTTGTTCATTTCAAATATCATCCTCAGCTTGTATTCGTACCATAAGCTACTTTAGTGGTGCTATTACAAGAAACGGTGCCATTTCTAGTTATTCCAAAGGCAGATGCTGCTGGAATACAAAAATATGTGTTTCAAGACTTCTTTTATCTCTTTGCTTTGTTATTTAAATGCTCCCTGTATTGTTTCAGGATTAGTCAATTTACTCCTTGTGTTTTGTTCCATATGTGTAATTTCTCCTTTAAGAAATGGTTTAATTATAAAGATGTTCTTTGAGGTTTAAAACATTGAAAGCTTTGACTTATAAAAAAGGTAAAATTAGATATAAATGCTATGTATTATAACTCAGAAACAATGTTTTCTTGGGGGGGGGGGTTGTTTGTAATACACTCGTTTCACCAGAGGGGGGAAACATAACAGTTGCAATGCACATGACTAATACTTAAGAATGCTACCAAACAGAAAACATCAAAAAACACTTATTTTTTTATACACTGCTGCCACCAAGTTAACTCATGCTTATACTAATGGTCAGCCAGAGCATGAGAATGTATAAACGCCCTGCTGAAATATGTGAGTCCTTCATTTATATGAAAAGCCCCACAGTTCACAACAGTTCATCTGTTTGGCTGATGTGTGGGGTGATTATAACATTGGTGATTTGTCTTTTACTTATATGTCTGTCAACTTCGAGCTAAAAGTGTGAAGCCTTGAGTCAGAGAAAAATGTTGTGTTGTAGTATTTGGGGAGGGGGGACTACTGCAGCATAAAACAGTGAAGTCTGCAGTCATTAATATGCAAATATGTAAATGAGAGGGTAATTAAGATTGGGCGTTTGTCGGTGGCTCTTTGATTGCAAATTAATTCAAATCTGCAAGAAAGGGGGAAGGGATGATGAGCTATAAATGAGGAAAAAACAATGTTCCCCCCCAACACACACACACACACACAAAACTGTATTAGGGCTCTATAGAATATATAGGTCCTATTGTATAGAAGAAATTGAACATTGCTGCTTTTACATTCCTTTCATAGATAAAAACCAAGGGTGAACACCCACCCAGAGGATGAAAAAATAGGGTATCACACACTTTAAAATGCACAAAATGGTTGCGTTAAAACTATTTTTTAGCACCAGCAGAAGCCGCAGCATAGGGGGGGAAGGGGGGGCTATGCATTTGTGCTGAGACAATTAACCGTGTACACAGTCAACCAAGCTTTCAGCATGGCAGGCTACAGCCACCGCAGGGAGGTGGAGAGATTTCTGCTCATTAAGAGTGATGTGGCTGACCCCTGTAGAGAGACTTGCTCAGGTGTCTTGGTAGGGGGTGTGTGTGCAGCAGGAGCATGCTGTGTGTCACAAACAGTGTTATTTTCATATTTCACATGTATTTGTCAAACACGGGGGCCTACAGTTTACACACAAGCAAAACTACTGTTATTGCTGTTTCAGTGGTCCCTTGACACTTGTACATCTTCCTCCATTGGCATGTGAAATGAGTATATGTATACAAGGAATGAAAACACATTTAATGTTGTGAAAATGGGGGACAACAGCTGCTCTTATCACCTTACTGTGTAATGACTTTCTCACAATGCTGCAGCTTTGCATATTTCATGGGCCTTAAACACTGACCACAACAATGTCACCTTGATTCCCTAGATAAAAAAAAAACATTGTAGTTTAAAATTAAGTTTGGTTGTGATGTATCTTAAAAAATAAATAATTTAGCCTTTAGGCTTCAGGTTTGTTCATTAAATTCAAGTGTCATGATGTTTTTATTAACTACATTCAGACACTTTAAAGCACAAACACTGGCACTCATCTATTTCAAATTGTGTGTTAGCAGCTGATCCCAAGCCTGCTCTGTTGTGTGACAAGTGGTGTGTTTCAGAGAGAGGGGGCTGTTTTTTTTTACAGGAAACAGGAAACCAGAAGTCATAACAGGATGCCCCAGGTTTCTTTACTGTACCTGATGCGTGGGTGGCTGCTTTGGGGTAACCCATTTAAAAAACTATGGGGCTTGACTTGAAGAAGAGAGTGGGTGGAGAGGTATGCACTTGGGGGTTAGGAAAATGGAGTTTCACTCTAAATATAGCTTTTTTTCATGCCTAACCCTAAAACCTTGATGTTGTTTTACCTCTATGCTGTATGTCCTACTTTTTAAAAGGGCACAAAGCAAACACTGTTTGATGTTTGGTGTAGAGCTGCGATATGATCACTTCCATGGCAATTATGCACCATCTTTCCTCAGGTGTACGCAGTGAATCTGTGACATGACCGCAGTTTTGGCACAATGAGGTTGATCATCTGATATTCACTGAATGCTCCTTACCCTGTTGCAAAAATATAAAATCGGGCTGCATTCGTATTGACTTACTTCTTAAACAGTCTTTTCAAATTCAGATTTAACTATGTAGGCTATAGTCTGGTTTTGTGGATTTGTGACTGAAGCTGTGATGGTTTGAAAACCAAGTTGGTTAATAGCATACAGATTTTAGCTTGAGACGCATGTGTGCAATGCATGCCTGTGTGTGTGAACATGTGTGTGAACCACAAAGTGGATGGCTGAGTTTTTTCGAAAAAAGGCCAGCAACAGATGTTATTTGGGTTGTTTCGCTTAAACCAGTTGAGGTTTTCTTTAGAAATTCTCAAAACATAACAGTCATGTTTACATAATCACCAAGGTACAACTCAGCAGCCAGGCAATTTTTGTGAGTTGAATGCTGGTTCATGCTGTGAATTTAGCTCTATAGTACCTCACAAAGGTAAGTAGATTTTCTTTAACATTTTCTTGCTCCATTTTACACTTTAATCCAAAACTAACAATTACTCCGACCTATAGCCTACTAAACTTAAACTATTTGACACAATCGATATTGTGATTAGGCCTACAATATGACTATAGACTGACAAAAAATAGTTTTTTTTTCTCAATTATGATAAAACCAAATAAATACCTGTGGACAAAAAGTGCGTAGTGAATAAATTCTGATGACGTTTTATAGGCTTCAGCAAACTTGTCTTTACAGGCTATCTTCACATTAGTCGTCGAGATTTGTTCTTTGGTTCGCTGTAACTGTTTAGAGGAATTATTAACAACAACGTCGACCAGTTATCGTGTTGACTTGGCATTCATTAAGACAACACGCCCAATTTTTATCCATCTTTGTAAGCAGCTTTATGGACAATCTCACTACGTAAGGCTTATGGTTAGAAGAGCATTCCCCCATCTATCCTTCTTTCTCACACACACACACACACACACACACACACACACACACACACACACACACACACACACACACACACACACACACTTTTTTTTTTTTGTAGCTTAGAGCAATATGTGCGCACGACGCCCGTCGGCAAAATGAGACTGCCCTAACCGTCTATGATGAAACATTGGCCTTTCTACGTGCCCATCAATGTTTTGTCGTATCCAATTGGCCCTCCCTCTGATATTATCATCCCATCTATTGCTCTGCTCGGTTGGGCTTTCCGCTGTCTTCATCCGCCGGTTGACATAGATCCCAGAGAATCGGCGGTACTTTGCTTATATTGATCACGCACAAGCCACAAAACAGTGTTTTTTTCGCGGTATTAAAGATGTCAGAGGCGTCAAAAATAAAGGCTGTTCTAAAACTCGCCTCATTCGGTTTCCTTCGTTTATGTTGACGTTGAACCACCGTCTGATGTTTCAGCGTCCATGTCCTCCCGTTTGGCAGTCCCGCGGAGTGATACTCCTTTGGAACCGACAATGTTGAGGCTCTTAAAATGTCTACTTGGAAAATGAAATGGTTACAATTTCTTTAACAATACGGAAACGGTCAACAAAGGAGTTATGGTTTGTGTTAGAGACGTGTTTTTAGTTTCGTGATAAAAAAAGACGACGACAAGGCGAGGTGGCGGAGGAGTGCTTCATATTGCCTTTCCTCTTTTTTTCATCAAGCCCTCAGTCCGGACCACGGGGGGAAGGATCCTATCCCTAACTTTGTTTTTCTCTCTACTCCAGCCGTTCATTTTCCCCCAGTTGGATGCTACAGACTTGAATTCAGGTAAATGGAAGATTTTACTACACATTCATTACAAGCATATGCATGTGAAATAGAAGACGCCGACCACATTGCGACCGAACAAATGATTAAGTTTTAAGCGTATTGTTCAAGTTGTAAACCGAGTGCCTCAGCCGGGAAAAGCGGGGTCTCGGATTTTTGTCCCTTCGGCCTGAGCGAACTATTACCAGCTTATGTGTGATGGAAAATACTTCTTTGTTCACTTCAATTGGCTTTAACGTTACAGCACATTAGCATATATATATTATATATATATGTATACAGTCTGAGTTGGTTTCCCCGGAATCCTGGTAGGCTATCTGTGGTTTGAGTAAGTATGTTTTCAGTAAAGAATTGAAACGTTAGCTCTTAATGGTTTGTTTTAAGCTAACTGTAACGATCCTGCTTTTGGCTTTGCTGTTTCTTCCACCTGTTAGCGATATTTGATAGTTTTACTATCGACGCCTTTGTTGCTTTAGTCCAAATTATAACCCAAATAAGATGCAATGGTACATTCATATTTATTAAATGTATAACTTCGGGATCTGCACCCCCCCCACGCACACACACACACACACAGACTCGACCCCTCTACCAACAACCCACCACTTTAACTAGCAGCAAGACTGCAGCTAAATCTCAATTAACTGCATCATGTAGGCTAGTATCCAATTACACTTTTTCCAACTTTTAACGAGGCTTTGAGGGGGAAAGATACTAATTCTCGTTAATTGCGTTTTGGCCACTCAAACTAAACTTTGGTGGCCCGGGTCTTTGTGTTCATTGGTGCCCCCCCCCCCGTCCTCTTGCTCGACGTGAGGGGAAGGCAACAGGTTTTTAAGTCATTTAAATCGTCCCTTAGGATTTTAACCCACAGACGAAGCATCAAAACACACAGTAACTTTTGTTTGACCTCAGGGATGAGCTCTTTCCTGGCATTTTGTACCTTAAACTTTCCCAAATGGGCAGGCGGAACGTGGGGGTGCTCAAGACGAGCGTATGCAACTTCCATTTGTTAGGAGGGGCCAAACACTTCTCCCCCATTTTGACCTCAGCTAAATGAGAGCCTGACATTTCTTAAGATGTGCCAAAATATTTAGGCTTTCTTCTTGGGAATTACACTTTTCTGTGTAAGTCGTTAATTGTGTTATTATTACCTGTTGTATTAGATTGTAATGTTTGCATTCTTTCATGTCGGAGCTGTTTCCTTTTTTGAGTTAGTGTTATCAACGTGGATTTCATTATTGTTCTGTTAAAGTTGTCAGATTACATACAGCACCAGGATAATTAAGGATCAGTAATACATTTACAAAAATCATTAGCATACAAATTGGACAAAACCACTAGGCCATCCATTGCCCCAGTTTGTATTATTGTTGATTAAAAGTCAATTTAAATGACTTTATGTCAGTGTCTTTCACAAATCAGCACTCAAGTCAGTGGTCTCTTTAGTGTCAAGCAATTTTAGCAATTTAGAGAATAATGCTGGTATTTTCAATGAATTAGATACCTTGTATCAACAGATACAAGGTATCTATGTACAAGATCATCTTGTACATAGTTGGTGAGCCATTTTCAGGGCACAGTTGAAAGTGTCCACTTAATTAATGTCCACTGCACAAGTTTGTAAATAATGACAATGCATATGATGTCTAGGGAAAAAAAACATATCCTTCCAACAGTTGCAATAAGTAAACCCTCATCAAATTAATGTCTGCTGATCACAAACTGAAGGCCATTTAATCAATAGATTTAATCAATACATACGAAGAATACGAACAAAATCACAACATTAAGATTTCCCTTAGCATGTTTTTTTGTGTTGCAGAGTGTCTGTGTTGGTTTGCCAAGCAAATGATACAACTAATACTTATTCATATGTTTAACGCTTAAATTTGCTTTGATATAGACTGGCTGAACTACACAGTCACTATTTAATAGCCTATTAAGATGTTTAATCCTTTTTTTAGTTTAGTTTAGTGGAAGCTGCCTGAGCTCGAGTAACAACGAGTGTACATGGGCCTGTGGCTGAATCATGGTAGATGTGGGCTAGCAGCGAAATTCTTAGAATTGGTTGAGAACTTAAAACTGGGTTATACTCTGATGGTCTTGCAAGAGTATGATACTAGACTGATATTTCAGATTAGCAGGTAGGCATCAGCTATTCATGGTTGATTCGATCTTTCAAGATAGATAACACAAATGTAAGTGTTGCTTTATGACAAGCTGATGTGGTGGTTTTGTATTTCATGCTTGTCATTGTGATTGCAGTAACTGCTTTCAAGGCATCTACCTGAATCCATATCTCATGTGTAAATGAGCAATAGATATTAGACTGACATTGTGATGCAAGTCTGAACATTGTCTGTTTTGTGTGTATTTTTATTGTCCCAAGATTCTTTTATTTGATGTTATACTTACCAGCCTCATTGTTGAGAAAGGAGGACACAACAACTAAAGTAGACATTACTTTTAGCGGATGCATCAACTCCAGCACTTAGACAGGTTTAACCATGTCTCCTGTTCAACCATAATATGTGTTTAAGTGAAAAGACAGATCATTTAATGGGGTTATATAACCTGTACCTCTATCATACCAGTTATGCAATTTCTTTAACCTTTGTTTGACACTTTCAGCTTAGTGAAAAAAATTCAAATGCATCAAACCACCTTCTTTATATATCCTGTTTTTCACCCGATGTAACCCTCCGTTTGTTATGTTTAATATTTTGTTGAAAGCTCCTATACCTGCTCTGTTGAAAAAAACAGTAATTCCTGATTGGCTATATTTAGTCTTTGTGTTATGAACTTTTGTTGGTAACAGTATCTAACCATGTTTCAAATATACTCACACTGTCTTCACCTCCACCTGTAGCCAATTGCTGAGACTGAAAGACCCAAGTGAACAGCAGCAGAGAATGGCTGCAGTGGAATCAGACAAGGAGCTCAACGACTTGCTGGATTTTAGCGCGGTAAGATATCTCCAAAGATTGCTTGAATTTTTGGTATGCATCTTTAGCAGTTTATTCTATGCTCACATAATAACATACAAATTTTGCTTATATAATGTTTTCTGAACAGTACAAGGGTTCTGTAGGTTGAAAAATGAATGAATTTCAGACCGTCTCTGACTGGGTCAGTCGGTCAGGGTTTAAAGGACTGTAGTGCTATTGCATCAATTAAAGTTTTGCAACACTCTTTTGTGGTGGTGCATGATTTAAATTCTAGCTGTCACTGCAGTTAGAACTGTTTTGTGTAGGTTTCTTCATTCCCCTTGTCGGTGGTGGATTTGACAGTAAATAGAATTTGATGAATTGAACTAATAATCACTTCCTAAAGGGAAGCAAAAAAACTCAGCATCAGTTTGTTTTCATTTCTGTCATTTCAGATGTTTGAGCTTCCAGTTTCAAATGGCAAGAACCGACCAACTACTCTTGCCAGCAGTCAGTTTGGAGGTTCAGGTAAGATTAAAAAAATTAACCTGTGGTTTGCTTTTTCTTTCATTTGTTTGGATTTTCGGGCTTTCTGTTTGTTTTACCCCTATTGAAATAAATGCACCATTCATTTGGATCTGACTATAAAAAATATATTTTCATAAAATGAAACAACAAAGAATTTGACATTTTACCTAAACTCTTTTGCTCATATCTAAAGCTGGTGTTGAACTGCTCTTCATAAATCACCTTAGTACCTATTTTAATAATAAATAACAGCAGTGAATTTGACATCTCATTATTTCAACTCCTAATCATTCATGGTGTTTCGAATAGTAAAAGAAAGGCTGTGCAACACATGTATGTGTTGTAAATGTGCTACAGGAAAATTGGTCTGTGCTGCAAATTATTTTACCTCATCACACCAATGGCAAAAGAGACCATTTTGTTTTGGGAGAGAGAGAGAGTGAGACTGAGTGAATAAAAGAAACATAACATATTGATTTGTGACAACAAACAATGTAAATTGAATCCCCTGATGGCCAATGTGCTCAAATGGTTTGGCTCAGTGCCACTAAAGCAAGTGCAGCACGGATTAGCACCTTCATTACTGCAGGTCTACCTGCTGAAGGTGTGTTTAAACTGATGTCTCGCTGTATTAAGTCCAACATAATTAAGAGAAGCAGGCTGTGGCTCTGACCCGTGGGCAAAGTAGTGGCTGTGAGCGCTGTTACTCCTGCGTTATAGAGGATCACGGATAATTGTAGCTCTGCTAAATCTCATTGATGAACACATTTAATTTCCTGTATTTTCTTCACAACAAAAGTCCCTTTTACCTTTTACCATTTCTTTAAGATGCTTTTATTTTGAAGCAGCTGCATAAGCAAATTGAGTGTTTTTAGCTGTAGCAACTTAACACATCTCAGATGTCTGAGAAAAAAAACTTCGAACCACACGGATTCAGTTAGAAGCTACAATGTAGCCTGCTAAGAGGTAAACACTGTGACTTATAAAACTTTAGTTGCAGCTTTAATAGTTGAAACATATCCATTCATAGAATAGCTTGTTACTTGAACATTATAAGCCTTGATGATTCCATTTCATGTCATAACACAATGCTGTTGGTTTAAAAATAGTGAGCACAAACCTGTTTTAATGATAAACTGCACTACTTGTGTTTGGCTTTAGAGACGTTATTTAAAGACGTTAAATATATTATGCTACAAGTTTTTCAAACTCCAAAGGATCAAACAATCACATAGAGATTAACAGTGGTTAATGTCGAAGTAGTAGTTAAAGTAGATTATAATGCAGGAGTGGAATACTTAGTGTTTCCTTAGTTGTTGTCCTAGATTAGCATGACAACTTGAAGCAGGGGGGAATATCTAGTCTGACTGCTTTCAAAGTTATAAAATATGCCTCCCAACATCTCCAAAGCCGATGACGAACTAGCTTTTATTATTTTTACATCATTGTAAAATAGACAGAGTTAAATATACAAGGTTACACGGTTTGGATTTACTTCAGACTTTAGATAACTTTTGTTATTATTCGTTCCACTGTTTATGAAACAGTTGCCATGTAATTTAAAGGTTTTGGATATGTGGAGGTTTAACATGAGCAGGGCTCAACATTATAAATGGCCCGCTGGCCCAGATGAATGATTGACAGAGTACGGGCCAGTTAAAATATTGCCTGAAAAAAAAACCATAGACTGTAACACGTTTTCAATTTCACAGTGCTTTCCTGTCATACCAGTGTTTTGTCAGTAAATATTTTTAAACGTTGCGTATCTAAAACGCTCGTGCGCGCGCTTGTGTGTCACAGTTGAAAGGCAGTCGACTGCTTCACTGCTGTCCCGCCCTCGAGCGTTCATCACTACTCTCGAATTGTACACTCGCACACAGGTTTTAGAACAGGTTTTCTCTAATAAAAAACATGTTTGATAAAACGGTTTTAAAACCATCAGATCCCGACAAAAGCCGAGCTTGAATCAGCATTCAAAGGAAAAAAATCACCGGAAGAGTCGAGAGTGACAGCAGGACATGACGGGAGAAAAGTTTCAGCCACAGTGACAGACAGCTGAAGCTGGAACACGCTGCAGCTAAATTTCCCCTTAAAGTTAAAGACTAGATCCTGTTAAAGGTAAAAGTTATTCACAAAGCATCTTAGCCCTTAAGAGAGCTCCTAAAGTAAAGATCTAAGGATGAAGAGTTTCTCACAGAGAAGAAAGAAGGAGAGAAAGGTGATCATAACAATACCAGCTCTATCACATCCTCATATTAATATCAATCAGATTAAGTAGACTCTTAAAGTTACCAGCATGGTGAACAAGAGCACATGAATATAAGAAAATACTAAATATTTTAATACCTAGAGCTCAGTTAATTAAATGGAAGTTAGAATTTACTTCAAGAATGGTTCAAGAGTAGCCTAAGTTGGTGACTGTTATTCTTCGAATCAAAAGAAACATTCCTGGGCCAGCGGTTACAGTGGTCAGGCCAGTGATCTTTGAAAACCAGTGGTCCGGAGGGCCATTGGCAAATTTAGCTTAATGTCAACCCCTGATGAGACTATGGGGAGCCTTCCTTTTACAGATTTAGTAATGATAATATCTCTGTGTCTGTTAAGTCACTCAAACAAGTAATTTGCACTTTCATTTTTTGGTTTCTTGAAACTGAGAATCCAAAAATGTATTTTTTAAGTTTCATACGGGTTGGCATGCAGGAGGGGGGAAGTTTCAAATTTGCATAAAATGATCAATATTTAAAACAGATCTGTGAACAAACAAGTAGTTTTGCCTTTTCAAATTGTGAATTCCCGGCAGGTAGTACTGTTGAAATTAATGTTATTTAATACAGGATCAGAGTTGGGTTTATGAAGTGTAATCTGTATTTGTTAGTGGATGAGAGCACAGTTGTGTTTGAGAAGTCTCTGGTGACTCACAGGTTAAAACAGCCAGGCCTGTGTTATTTTACATTGTTCAGTATTTCATTAACATTGTTTACTCTCTTGAGATTTTGGTCTGACATCATGCTTTGTGTCTGTATGACTCACTTGCCAAGGGAAGGAAGAAGGTGTGTAGACAAAGAGGCACACACAGTTATAGGTGCCTGGGGCAATGTTCCTGTAAAAACGAAGGCTTGTCTACAAATTTGGTCAATGTATGTGCCAGAGTTTTGCTCATGAAGCTTATGACTCAGGCCAACTGTCTGTTCCCAGTATCTCTTCCTGTGTAATTATAGACTAGCCATGCTTAAAGGGGCGTTGCATGCTGGGAGGAGAAGTGCATTGGGGTTCACCATAGAATTTGTCTGATGTTACTCACCCTTTTCTTCATTTTTCTCTTTATGGTCCTGTTAGTCTGTCTGAGTAGAGCACTACTCATTGTTTCCTATTTATTTTGGGACTTGTTTCACTAATGGAAATCCATTTGTAAAAATTACAGCATTCTAAAGAAGTTTGTTGGTCAAAATCTGATTTAATTTCTTACCACTAATGAAATCTAATTAAAAAACTAAAATGAATATTGTCCCAACAGCAGTGTGATCTGTTGTTATTGTTGAAGCACTTCTTAATTTCACCAAATTATAAGATGTCAACACTTTATAACATGTATAAAATAAAAACAGTAACTAGGACATCATGAGCCTCAAACAAATACATCTTACAGGACAGGGAGGAAGAGGTAACACAATTTTCTAAACCCAGTTGTTAGTCTGACAATAGGCTTAATGAGAACACCAAATCAAACATGTGTTCCTGACTTGTTGATACTTTTGTTTTGCTTTCCACATTATATATACAAAGATGGTGATCTTGATGCAGGGCTCTATTGTTCTATTTGAAGTGAATTCATTTGTCTGATGGTATGGGTTCTGCATCAAACAAAGAAGGTAATTGAAACACCCATTCTGTCATCTGTTTTATATTTTTTTGAAGATGCTGAATGTTAAATGTATTTGAGTAAGGAGACATCATTACACAACCACATGAAAGCAAGTCTCAAGAAAACAACTACAAGGAGGTCTGATATTCTGCAATTCAGAGGGTTCTATTTTTTCTGAACTATATTGACCTTATATACAATGTCCAGAGCAAGTTAACAATGCCAGTTTCCTCACAGGATAATTTTTTATGGCAGGTACCTGTTTCACCCTAGCTGTTTGTTGTCACTTAAAAGCTCCCCCTCTCTACCAATCAACGGATGCAGCTGAGCTTTTGAAATAAAGACATCAAAGTGAAATGGTGTTTCATTAAAATTAAGTATTGTTCATTCAAACAGTGTGAGTCAGGCACTCACACAGAATAACAATGCTGTGGTGGCATGTTACACATTGACCCACATTTTTACACAGCAGTATGTTTACCATTAGCATGTGTTGGTGATCCAGGTCTGTGAAGTTCACCATGTACAGTATACGTCTGGTCAAATCTTTGTTTTGGGGATTTTGTTCTTCTAACCCTTAAGCTATTGACTTTTTCTTATCTCCTATAGTGAGTGAACCTGTCTAGACTTAGCTCTGTGTGTGAAATATGTAGTGTTGTGCAAGTTCACACTTCAAATGAGCTAGCTCAAAGTTCTGTCAATCATATTTAAATGAACTAGTTCACATTCATTGTTCACAATTTTTAATTCTGAACTAAGTTCACAGTCCAAAAAGTGAACTAGTGCATGTTCATTGCTTCTTTCATCCTTTTTTTACTGCACCAAGCTTCTTTTTTCAGTAGAGCCTCCTATACTCCCATCTCTTCTTAAAATCATTCATTCACAAGGTTTACCCAAAGTTTCTTGCTTTCATAAATATCATAAGGATCAATTCTATACCGGAATGAGCAAAAAGACGTGCGCTCAACTGTAAACTGTAATAAATACATATCAATAAGGTATGTATTTTAATTACTCTTCACTTAACAGGCTGGTTTGTCATACCTATACGTGTTGGTTTCAGTTGCTTTACAGGTTTCAGCATTTGAAATACCATTAAAAATCAGTGCTTAATAAACATACAGGCACATAAACCATTATGCTGAGCGAAGCAGAGTGGGAGATAAAAGAATAAATACTGCCGATAACCTGATGTGTTTAAATTATTAACTTAGCTTACATACAGCAAAGGTGATATCTTTTATAAAGAATTTTTAGCAGTGACTTCATTCACTAAATAACTGTCCTAGAAAACAATTCAGAATAAAAGCATTGTGTGAAAACTTGGGTAATCTCCTCACAGAAAATACGGATGGGGCTTTATTTTGAAAAGCAGAGTGGAACCGTGTCATATGCTTACCTAGTGCCGCATATCAGACTTCGGTACACAGTGCTCGATAACTCTTGGTACCTCAGAAGGTACCAGTCTCCTATGCTTACATTCTCGTTCATGGGTTGAAAATTGATTTGTTCAGTTCACCGTTAACCCAAAAAAGGAGCACATTCAGGCTTAATACTGGAAACATGGATAAACTCCACACTCAGTAGGAACATGCAAGTAGAGCAGAGACATTGTTCAGGACAGTAAAATGCATCAAGATATGCCCTTGCTCTGCTAAAAAAAGGATTCATATAAATGAATTAAATACCATTAATAAAGCATTCTGTGCCTTTCGTTGGGAAGGGCGGGAGGACACCACTCCAAATGAATGGTAGGGTCAACACTAGTTTACTTTCCCAGTTCTTGAAAAGTTATCCAATTATTCCTCCCCTCAGGTGTGAATAATTCTTCCCTTATTCCCTCCTCACAATCCATTGAATCCAGTGGACCACTTTGATACATAAACTCCCTATGTCTGTAAACTTAAAATAACCGATTTTGTCAGTTACTACTACTAATCTACATTTCAACAGGACTGTAATGCAATCGAAAAAAGGTTGAATTGGAGCCTTTCCTGCTTTGGGACTGATGGCTCTCAGCGTAAACCAGTGGTTCATGCATTTTCTTTATCGTCTTTGATTGACATGCAGAGTGACAGACAGCCATTGAGAGGGGACAAGACATTGTCTCCTTCATCTCTTATTCTGCTGGTGTCGTGCGTATAGATCACAGTTGTCACGGCAATCTAGCAGCTCTCAGCGCTGTGGACCCATCATTCTGTTCTACTGCTGAGCCTGTCATGATTCTAGCCTGCCTCTACCCCCCTCTCTCTCCCCTTTCTGTTTTTTAATTAGACAACAAAACAAAAATATGAATATTCATAGAGCTGAGCTTCATTAATATGCACAATTATGCAAATCAGTACACAATTAAGCCTCAGCTTTCCCCAAGAGATGCTGTGTTGCAGCACGAGAGGAGATTGAGAGAGAAAGGGAACGGGCAGAAATTTCTGCTTCGCCAATCTTTAAAATCACTGAAAGCTGTAGCACTCTGCCAATGGATAACGTGTGTCAGCTATGTAAGCTCGAGCCCTTTTGTCTGCATTTAGGCGAAGGTGTAGGCAAAATGTGAGAAAATTGATGGGAAATGAAAGACTGTTGCCTAGGAAAATGTATAGGAGAGTGGGAGAATGAAGAATGTCTACAATGATTCTGGGAGTCTCATACTGGGTGTTAATTATTCAAACTTCCTACAGCTCATATCTACGCTATGTGACAGTGCTGTCACTGTGCTGTCACTATTTGAGCTGTGAAGTGAAGCTCTTTAGTGGGGGTTACTTTGAGCAGCTTGAAAAACCTGTATCAAAGCAGGTCAACTTTCGAAGTTAGACTTAGTTTTGCAAAGAGTAATGTAAATGTCTAGAACAAATGTGTCTGCCTCCCATTGGTTAATCCATCTAACTCAGCTTCTTGTGTTCCAGGAATGGATGAGAGGAGTGGGTCCAGTCCCTGGGTGCAAGGACAACAGAACAATCCATCATTCAACCAGGGAAGGGTATGTTCCCATTTCATACATGTAATGGGGCTATGTAGATGTCATGCCACAGAGCTTGAGAGAAATGCAACATAGATTTGAGTAATGGTTTTATCTATACCCCTTACTCACACAAACACATTTATTAAGATCCATTTTTTGACCCTTGTTTCAAAACTGACTCTGCACCAGTTTCATTACTAGAAATTAAGATAGATTGCGCACACAAAAAGGTATTTTACACATGTGAAGTATATCAAACATTCAAGCTGAGCAATAAAATATGTTACATCAAGCTTAACAATATTATAAAAATCATCTTTCATGATGTAGCTATGCACAAGCCCCGTCACAAGCATTAGGCAGTCTCATTCATTTTTGTGTATCTCCTAGAAATACAGTTGGTTGGTTTATTTCACTCAGACTCAGAGAATCCATTAAACCTCAGACCACCCTGTTTTAAATCCAGATTAGGTCTGCAGTTTTAAAGATAAACAACCAAATATTTCAGAATGTTCAAGATTTTAACCACTGAAATGACCAGATGTACCCAGTGTAAGTTCCACCAACCAGGCCAAATCAAACTATGTTAACTTGGATGGATCACACACATTATGAATTTGGACTGATCTACCTGGGTTTGTGGCTTACAATAATCACACAATACTTAATAATAACCGTTATAAACAACCCAGTCGTACTTCACTCCCTCAAAGTATGGCAACAAGTCCTGTCTTACCTTAACCTGCCTAAAGTTTACAAAGACAGTCCAAACAGCCACAACCATGCATTTCCTCCAGCCTTAGCAGACTTAGTCTTCTCTATCTGGAAAGACAGTGATATTGTCACAATAATAGATTTACATGCTGAGGGAAACCTTGGGTCATTCCAACAATTACAGCCATCCCAAGGCTTACCATCAGCACATTTCTATCGACATCTCCAGGTTAGGAATTTCATTAGGATGCATATACTCAACTCTGAACATAAGCCCAAACATAACATACGGATTGCTTTCTTCGTCATGTCTCTGGCACTAAGGGGTCAGTACCTTTTTTTTTTCTATGGCACTCATATAGTGATATCCAGGGCTAAAGAAAAGAAATGACTAAGAACAAAAACTCCGTACAGAAATCTCTGAAGATGTATGGGAAGCCATCTTTAATTACATACACCATGGTTCTAAAATTCCATACATGCTTTTATACAACTCAAAGTAGTCCATAGGCTTCATGATTCAAAGTCTAGACTTCATGCTTTATACCTCAACATATCTTCTTTGTGTGATAAGGGCCACATTGTGGGGGGTGATCTGATCAGATCACAGATCAAGTGATCTGGTTTACCACTACACACATGCACAAGCACAGATGTATCACAGCTGATGTACAAATTTAACTGAATGTTCTGAAAATAAGCAAAGTAAATTGAGAATTAATTCATGTTTTTTCCCCCGTCAGGGTTATGGAGAAGAAGGCCTTTATGGTGAGCAAGAGGGCATTGCCTCTGCCCCTATATTTGGATCAGGGATTGTTGGTAAGAAAGCTTAAATTGAGCTAAGCTGTTGAAATATAGTGACCACAACTTTCATATCGTCTTTTTTAAAACCTAAAGAGAATCAGGGATATTCAGGGTTAGTTTGTACTAATTATAGTACCAGATGAAGGACAAATGTGCTTATTCAAATACACAAGTTTATTTCAGAGGACTGTGTGACTGAGCCAGAACAATGGGTTGTTTGTTTGAGAGAGAAGCCGTTCACCGGTTAGACACTAATGTACCACTTTAGGGCAAACCATATTTATGCTTAGGTGGCAGTGGATGAAGGGAGCATGGTAATCAGGGAGGATGTGGAGGATGGGTTTGTTTGTGTGTTCAGTGCAGGGGGGGTTTCAGTAGGGACGGGGGCGGGTGTAAAGGGTACCCATGCACAAACAAGGCTTTCCCCTGGGACTACTGTGGACTATAGCTCTACTCTGTTTAACTGTCAGGGGAGGGAACTGAGGTTGGGCACAATTGCCCCTGAACCATTTATAATGGGCCAATTTATTGTTGTTTTGTTCGCAATCATAAATACCACAAATCATCTTATAGACTCACATGGCAGATGGGAGGCACCCACATGGAGGATGGAGAATAGCCAGATTGTGATTTAAAACTGACATAAAGGCCCTATTTTCAAAATCATGACCTGATTAAGTATTTCTTTTCCAAACAGGAAAAGCTGAGCGAGGACCATACTCGTCATTTCCTGCACAGGTGAAACTTTTACAGCGACAGGTTATTGTGCTGCTGTATTCTCTTCTCATGCCCTTATTTGAAAAATTATGTCAATTATGTCATGTAATGTGTCAATTGACACATTATGTCAATTATTTTCTATTCCTGTTTAATTCTTCATTTACTCCTACATTTATTTCAAACTAAAATCTGACACTAAATGAGCTTGTGCTTTATTTTCCCCATTTTTAGCCGGGCTTTATGCCTAGTGAGATACCCATGGCAAGTCCTAATGCCCTCTCCCCGCCTGGCCTGAAGTCTAACTCCCAGTTTTATTCCTCTCATGACGGAAACAACCCTCGTCGGAGACCGGCACAGGAACCTATTGGTAAGATTAAGAACAAAATATTGGACAAAATGACAGATTTGATTTCAGAGACATTTTACTATCTTCTGATTATTTTTTAAATGCAGAGTCAGTAGCATTTTTCCTCTGCCATTATTTTCATGGTTTATGTTGTTTTGGATGACTAAGGACATTTCTGGGGGGAGTTGGTTTATTTCCCTCAGCCAATGACAGTGCGCAGTAGGGCTGGTTAAAAATATCGATTCATCAATGCATTGCAGTTGTAATTTTCCCAATTCAATATCGATTCAGGGATATCTTGAAATCGACGCCCCTCTCCACTGGGGGCACTGTGAATTCAGGTCAGGCACAACTGGTCACTTTACAGTTTTTGTCCATGCCATTACAGAACTGTTATTTTTATTACTGCAATGCAGCTCGGGCACAAATGTGCACTTAAGATCATACTGTACTTTAATGTTTTATTATTTGTTTCTTAAAGAATAATGCAACGATAAAATTCATTTTTTAGTCAGTTTGTTCTAAACCTATACAAATAATACACACATAATTATTTAACAAATATCAGAAGGTACTGTGATGAGTTATCTGGGTATTCCTGTCATCTGTATGATTTATTATATATTTAATCAATATCGAAGCATCGATAAAACCGAATCGATGACTAATCATACGTGACCCAAATAATTGAAATCGAATAGAATTGTGAGGTTGTGGACAATACCCAGCTCTAGTGCACAGGTACATTTAGGAGTGGATATAATTCAGCAATTGGACAGGATTCAAACCGGTGAATATAACGGACGTGGATGTAGCGGCAAAAACGATAAAATATAATATTAGTGAGGTGAAACACCAAGCGGATGAATCTCATTCCAAAGCGAGGACACAGAGTTGGTCTGTACTCTATTGGACAGGCAGGTGCCAAACACTGGCGGTGTAAGCTTGTGCTAGCGTGCTAAATTTTCAGCTTTTCAATTAAACAAATGTAATAGGCCTATTCTCAGATAGTTTGCAGTGTAGCTACAGGCAGTAAATGTTTACGCTAAAATCTTGCAGTGAGTGTGCGCTTCTGGTGGCGGTGAGCCCAGGAGGAGGGGGCCCAGTTTGAATGTTGTTTTTACAGGCTGCAACACACATTTCTACTGACTCCACCTTTGAGTCAGTGTGTAAAATCATTTCTGCTGGAGTTTTAATAAAGTGTTTGAGAAATTCACTTCTGCTAAGTTGAAGGGAGCGAAATCAGTGGGTTCTGAAAGATGCGAGTCACTTAACAACATCAGATTAAAATATCTTTTGATAAGGCATTAATGAGTAGTCACAAAACAGGACAGATGGATGGATTGGTTCAGCAGGACTTCAGAAGAAAGGGGTCTGCATTAATGAAATCCCTCATCGTGGATGTACTTTTTTTTTTCCAATAGGTGAACGTCTTTGTGTTTGTTAGCACGCTTATGTGATCTTGGTCTGTCTTCCTCCCCTCAGAATCGCAGCCAAAAAAGATCAGGAAGGTGCCCCCTGGCCTGCCTTCCTCGGTGAGTACTAACAGCTACAAACATTGGAGCACTAAACTGTACACCTCTGTCAGTCCACGGGAATCCATGTTTTCATGTTTCACGCCTGTTTTCACATTCCATTTGGCATCTTGAGCCTCTCCTTGGCTTGCATAGCGGTTGAATCTCTGCTAAACAGGACATCCAGCTCTTACAGCTGTTTATCTAGACTGCAAAGTAAAAAAAGAAAGTAGGGGGAAGCCACTCATTTACCAAGTCACTCATTTGCAGCTTGTATTTATAGAATGTCGTATTTGTAGGTCCTTTACTTTATGGCCACATTTCTCGCCCCTGCCAAGTGTACTCTTCAGACTGCTGAAGGGAATCCATTCTGCGGTTTGATGTTCCTTACTCCACCTCATCTTTTCCCTCCTACTCTTGCTCTGTGGACACCCATTTCCTCCTCTTTTCTGTCCCCCTCCCCCTCCTCCTCCTCTTCTATACCCCACAGCCCCCACTCCCTCCGCCTTCTTCTCCTTTCTGCCTCCTCCCTCCCCTTTCTCCTTCTCTCTCTCTCTCCCTCCCCCATCCCTCTATCCCAGCTGCCAGTGGAGTTGGCTGCTGTCCAGGATTCGGCAGATGGTTCAGTAATTAGGAGTGCATCTCTCCATTCCCTCTTCTCCTCTCCCCCATTTCCTTCTCCTTTTTCTCTGTGTTTAATCAAATTACAGAGGAAAACTTCAGTCCATTTGGGTTTGAGTTTTGTAGACACAGTTTGATACTTGCTTTTTGCCTTGAATAGTCTTGATTCAGAAAGCTGTGGTGGTTCAGAACATTGGTTCTTTTATAACCATTATACTATGCTCCAAATCCAACTGCATCTCTTATTGTGTGGCAACATCGCACAGTGTTAAAGCGTACAAATGATGTATCTGTAAACCATTCACACTGTGTTTCTGTTCATAAGGATACTATGTAAAGGCCCTACAGAGACAGAAGATAGTACTCAATGTAATCACTGACACTGCACATCCAGTACATAATGCTGAGTGCTTCAGTCTGCAGACATGTTGCAACAGCCTGTACACTGAATTAAGTAGTAAAACCAGATAGTAAAAATCGACTCCAGCCTTGGAAGGCACACATACTTTAAATAGCTGTTTTTAATCCAAATGTCTTTTTTGTTTAAAGTCTGTAAGAAAATTAAAAATGATAGAAAACTAGTTTGTAGTTCCCATCTTAGCTTATTACCATTTTACCATTATACCATATTAGCTCTCTTCAAAGAAAAATAACAAAATTAGCATGTACTGCATGCATGACATTCACATTAGACAGACCATATAAGCTTTTGACAGTTATAAGGTGCTTTGTAATCAAGTTGTCAAGCACTAAGCTGAACAGTTTTGCCCTTGGTCATCTGTTTGTCTTCTTTAGGTTTATGCACCGGCTTCAGGAGAGGATTTCAACAGGGACAATGCTGGCTACCCGGCCTCCAAGGCAGGAAACGTCTACCCACCACCATTCTACATGCAAGGTCAGTAAAGGCAAACCCTCCTTCAAAACCTCTGTCCATTGTGTTAGGTTTGAAAATTCAGTCTGACCAGGACAGTTTTTGTTGTTAAATCACGTTACATGTATCACACACCTAAACTGTTTATAGCAAACTGGATTTTTCCTCCATAGCCTCTGTGGTTGTGTAACTAGTTGCCTATGATACCCTTATGAAGAGCAGATGAACCTATCAGCTTTAGCGGTATGTCAATAAACACCCTGTGGTGCCCGGGTGCTGAATAGTGCATCACAGTTGAATGAAGTCATCACAGTAATGTGACATGTCTCATACGTGGCCCTCATTGTCTCCTCGTCTCCTGTCGCTGTTTTTTATCCTCACCCATCACTTCCCCCTTCTTCCTCCTCTCTGGATGCTTCCTAACAGAAGGCCACCACCCGCCCTCTGATCCGTGGGGCTCTGCCCGGTCGATGGTTCAGCCCGGGTATTCTGCCATGCTGGGCAACCCCCCCCATCTGAGCCAGCATGGCCCTTTCACTGCCATTAACCCCCAAGACAGACTGGTGAGTTCTGTCTTAATAAGTTGGACTTTTGTTTCTCAGAGAGCACAGTGAGGTCTTTGGCACTTTTTGACTAATACATTATTGAGAGTTTCTGTCTGCTCCTGCAATTAAATTACTGGTTATCTTTACTTCCAAGAAACGACAGCCACTGCCCCTCTCACCCCAAAACTACCCCCTGCATGGCAGTGAGGTGAACGGGGCTCATCCCGCTGGCTTCCACTCCAGCTCCAGCAGCTTCGTAGTCCCCAGCCACACACCCCCTATTGCCGGCACTGACACTTTGGGTAAATCCTTAAGTGTTCTCTTTCTTTGAGCTTTTTCTTTTTGGCTTTTTACGTGTACAAGTCTTTAAGCACAATGGTTTTGTTCATGGGATCCAATTAAACAGTATTTTTCTTCCCCTAAAGCCAATCGAGGAACAGTGCCTGGAAGTTCAGGTGATGAGATCGGAAAAGCCCTGGCATCTGTAAGTAGTATGAGATCAATATAGACGAATCAGTCAGACTTTAAACATTACATATCATCTTTCTATAGCAATAGCAAGAGAAGTGAAGCCAATAGGTGTATGTAAGTTGATCAAATACTCTTTTGTCCAGATCTATCCTTCAGACAGTTCTGCCTTCCCTCCATCTCCATCGACGCCCTCTGGCTCTCCCCAGGCTGTGTCAGGTGAGAGAATAGCTCCAGTCATTATTTCCTAAGGTCAGCTGGCCTCTGTTGTTGTTTTGTTTGGTCACCGTTCGGGGCTTTCATGTTGTGAAGGAAGAGATATATTCTTGAATCTGTTTTGTTGTTTGTTCTTACTTGAATGGTTATTCATGACAATGTAGCTCCATCTATTGGGTTAGAAGTGGTATTTAATGTTTTTAAAATGAATTAATCTTGTGTTTTGAGGAATCTTAATGCTCTGTGTTGTTAGCTTTTAAGTGATATATTTAGTTAAATGCATTACATCGATGAGTGTTTACTGGCATTTGCCATCAGTTGGACTGGTGTATCTATTTGACCTTTTCAAGTAGTAATTGATGAAATACATTCATATTACATGAGAAGCCACATACCATTCAGGGAAAAAACATTTACATCATATGTAATTGGTGGATAGGTCAGTCAAAAAACTGCATTGCCAAAAGGTTAAATCAAATGATTTCACAGAATCAAAATAACCCAGATTTGGACTGTGTCACTGAGTTCAGTCAGACATTTTCTCATGCTCGCTCTGAACAAACATAGAATGACACTCAACACTATACTGACATGGAAGTAATCTGATTCAGCAAATGCTTCTTCTCAGAATGTCTCGTCTTTTCAATACATGTGTCTGAGATTTGAACTCTACTTATGATGGTAAAATTTCCACATCATCAATTTTAATAAGCCTGTCAACAATTATGAACTGGTTTTTCCCCATATACAGCTTAACCTTTACTTGATCTTTCAGACACATGCAAACATGCACGCACACACACACACACACACACACACACACACCCACACACACACCATCCATATATAGCTTATGAGAGAGGAAGGGAAAATATAGTAAAAATATAAAGAGGTGAGCTCACTTCCCCATTTGTCTCTGCTCTGAGGTTTTGAGTGAGCTCATCACAAACGTGTCTTACATCAAATACTGCTGCTGGTTCATAGTGAGGGCAGTAAAAAGGGGCTGAGGGTGTTAATCGTGAACCCAATATAAACTGAAATATGAAATGTTCTACTTTGAAATAAGTGATTTTATACATATACTGGTACTCCAAAAGTATAGATGAAGAATTTGTACCTATTATATCTTCATATTTCACGTATATAAAAATATACTCGATCAGGATCTGCCACAAGACGAAAAGCGCTGTTCTTATAAAGTTGATCTGCATACTACAAGTGAGCTTTTTGACCTCTTCAAGGCTTTCACTCTCGGTGCACCTCGGTAGTTGGTGACCCTGTGCCAGTAAACCCTACTCTGCTTATCTTTTGTTCTTAAACAAGTAATATAATGAGCCTCATTTTTTAGACGCAATAAGTGCTTCCAATGTGTCAGAGAACAGATATACCTTCAGCATATGGTTCAAATCACACTTTTCCTAGTGTCTCTGATTGAGCATTTAAGAACCCAGCACAAACTGTTTCTTGTGAACAAAAAGACATGCATATCATATTTGAGAAAGAAATGGAGTAATAACACTAACACATCATCCTTTCTTCAGGCTCTGCATCGCAGTGGACTCGGTCTTCGGGTCAGGTCACACCTTCACCCAACTTTGAGGAGGGAATTCAGTCCATGGTGAGTCAACAGTTCTTTTTTTATTTTTCCATTTTGAAGTTGCAACTTCAGATTGTTAAAGCAAATGACAGAGGTAAAGACATGACACCAACAGTCATTCCTGCTGCAGTCTCATCCACCACTGTTTTTTGTTCCCTTTAGCCGAGTAAAATGGAAGACCGTCTGGACGAAGCTATCAATGTTCTTCAGCGTCACGCCAGTGGACAGGGCGGGACTGGCCTGGCTGAAATGCACAGTCTGCTCTCATCTAGTTTAGGGTTACCTGCAGCCTTCACCAGCGCAGCCCTGGGAATGGCCAGTCGCCTGCCTGGACTGGTGAGATAAATGAAAAGCAGTATAAGAAGTCCCCAAATGACTGAATTAAGTTTGATGTAATAATCAAGGATGTTTCATTGCTCTTACTCTAGCACTAAAATCTTTTTGAAAGATAAATCTAACATGTTAAATTGTTCTCCTGAAGCTGTCCAGTCACCATGAGGACTCTGTTGGTCTGCCCTCTAGTGGAGGTCTTATGCATAGCAACCATGGCCCTGCATCTGTTCAGCATGGCTCTCAGCCTGATGGTTTTGCTGGTGAGACTTTCTGTTGATCTGTACTCTGTGTTAATTTAATTACCTGTCTATCAGAAATGATAGTAATACATAAACACTTTATAACAGTTAAATAAATATGTTTGGTTCTTTATGCATCTTATTCAGTATGTGTGTTTATTAACTCATTGTGCAGGCCTGATAGCAAGTATTCAACGTTCCATTGGGTCTGATTTGAAACGAGAGGAGAAGGAGGATGATGAAAACTGCTCCATCACTGACAAGTCTGAGGATGAAAGGAAAGACATCAAGGGCCTCCTCGGAACAAGGTTTCCAGAATGTTTTCTATTTTCACACATAATGTACGCTCTCTTATCAGTGCATAATGTTTAAAGGCGTAAAGGTAGAGTCAGTAGCATTGTTCGTTGCAGCTTGCAAATGCAACATTCAAACTGGAATGAGAAACATCCTGTGTCACCCAAAACATCAAAATCAAAAAGAGGACAGGGTCTCTACAGACACAGTCACAACCACATGTATGGAGGCCCATAAGTGATAATTGAGCAGCATTACTTTTGTACAAGTCTGTATACAGGTCTAGAGGGTACTCTGTTATATTTCTTTCTTTTAAACCTTAGATTAGAAAAGTCTGAATCCATTTCTGAATATTTGGTCCTCAATACCCAATTTGAAAGGTACAGGTTAAAAAACAATTTCATTAACAATGCCTGAAAGAACAAGAGCAACACTTGATGAGAAAGGACTTGTATGAAGCTTAAGTTGCAAACTGAAATGTAAGCAACCTTTACAACAGACTTTTCTATAGCCAATATGTTACTCTGGATTTTTTTCTCAAACTTTTCAATGAGGTGTTGAAACTGCTAGAAAAATGTACTGCATTTTCTTGGGAAGCAATTTTAAGTGAACTGTACCCATACTGTTGTTTCCCTCCCTCCTCATCTGCCAGTCTGGATGATGAGGAAGACGATGAAGATCTGCCAGTGGAGATTAAGGTTGAGCGGGAGAAAGTACGGAGGTTGCAAAACAACACCCGTGAGCGGCTTCGTGTGCGGGACATCAACGAGGCTTTTAAGGAGCTGGGCCGCATGTGTCAGCTCCATATGAGCTATGAGAAACCACAGACCAAATTGATCGTACTGCAACAGGCCGTTAACGTTATTCTCAACCTGGAGCAGCAAGTCAGAGGTCAGTGGGTGTCCAGGGAGGAAAGAAGAGGAGGGGAAATGCTTATTTTGCAAAATAAAACACACACATCTTCACTTCCAAGCTCCTTTTATGTCATTGAATATGTCCTTTAAGACCTCATAGTAGTTGATTTTACTCCACTCATGCTGGTAAATCAATTCTACCTGATTTTTATTAATACTTGTAATCCAAGTGATATCGTACTTTTTCGAGTGCACCCTAAAAGGGATGAAATGTAAGGACATGAGACGAGGAAATGAAGCTGTGAGTGTTTTTAAGACATGCCCATTCTTCAGTTCATCCTCTGAGGTTTTCATCCCCTGGTAACACATACAGGTCTGCTGTGTGTTCTGATGCAGTGTATGTGTTGCTTTGTCTTAAACTGGCTGTCTGTTTCCACTGTGTAAATCTTTACATGTGTCTCTTCTTCGCCGTTTATTGGATTAACACATCTTTTTTTTTCTGCACATTTTCTTTTTCCACTGTTGCCTCATTGTGCTAAATTAATTTACAAAGTTCTTTTAACATCAGATACGTTTATTCAGTGTTATGATGCCATCTACTCATAGTCTGTTCACTGACAGCCCTGATAGCATGAAAGCAGCTTGTCCTAACCCGTCTTCAGCGTTGTTGCAGTGTCTGTGTACTGCATGCCCCTGTCTCTCAGCCATTAACCCTTTCATTTTGCCACCTTTTTTTCCGTGAGAGACCTTTCCATCTCTCCATTCTTTCTCCCCTTCCTCTATCATTTTCTTTTTACAGATGGCAAAAGCGACCTCTTCTCCCCCACATTCAGATAAATACATCAGTCTCCTACTGCTGATGTATTTAATACAATATCCTCAGTCCTTCTTCTCAGCTTTGTCTCTGTGGCTTTTTCTGTAACAGCAGAGGGTGTTTCCTCCTTTCTCTCCCTCCTCATTACTTCTCTTATTCTGCTGGACAAACAACATATCCCCCTCCACTTCCACCCTGGACCCTAGTGACCAAAAAAGTTAATCTTTGTTGGTTGGTTAAACTTTAGAGCAGATTTTAGAACACCTTGTCATCTATTATATTCTGATCTACAGTATCTTTATTCTTGGCTTGAAATCACTTAGTGATTTTTCAACTGACAAAACGTAATTGTTTGATTGATGACAATATGTCAATTTATTTTAGTTTTTAGTACATATTAAAAAAAGAAGAAGAAAACTCTGCCCCTCCGCTCACTCTCCTGCAGCCTCGCTCCACTGTGATCTTCTTATGCAATTCCACTGGTCTTACCTTGAGCTAAGAGATTGAAGTTAGTACTATTCTGAGGTACACATAAAAGATGAATGATTTCTAATCACAGAAATAGAAGTTAAAGCAGTATAACAGGTTTAAAGCAGATGACCTGCAGTTTTTGTGTACATATAGCCTATGCTCAGGAAGGGTTGTGATTTGGGTTTGTTAACCAGCCCCTCAAACGCCCCCTCTCCTCCTGGCTGCAGCATCGTCACGGTGACTGATGAGAACCTCACTGCCGAGGAGAAGGAGCAGAGGGAGCGAGGGCGCCGCCAAGCCAACAATGCTAGAGAAAGGGTGCGTGTGCGAGACATTAACGAAGCCTTCAGAGAGCTGGGCAGGATGTGTCAGGTCCACCTGCAGAGCGACAAGGCCCAGACCAAGCTGATCATCCTGCAGCAGGCTGTCCAGGTCATACTGGGCCTGGAGAAGCAGGTGCGAGGTAGGTCAGCCAATAAAAGAAGGTCTGATCCACAGAGACAACCAACCATCTCCAGTCATAACCAGACAACAGTCCACCCTTCAGAATAAAAACTCTTCCTTAATTTTGCTCTCACTTGCTGTGTAGCATCAATTTTGGGTATCCCTTTGCTTTACTAAAGAAGAAGAAGAAAAGGGAGAATCTTAGAGGACGAAACATCTCTGCTTTCTGCCAAACACCTCACTTCTAATCCTACCTTCATTTTCCTGCCTTTTCTGTCTCCCATCCATCTTTTATTTTGCTTTCAGGACTTTATCTAATTGCTTAAAAGATGACTAAGGACGAAGCTTTATGAGATTTGCTTCCTTTCTTTTGGACTGTTATTAATTTGTTGTGTCCTTTTCCAGAGCGTAATTTGAACCCAAAGGCTGCCTGCCTCAAGAGGAGAGAGGAGGAAAAAGTTTCAGGTGTGGACCCCCAGATGCAGCTTGGTGGGGGTCACCCTGGTCTTGGAGATGGACATATGTAATTCTCAGGTCAGTCTGCAGAACAGAAGCCTGCAAGATGAAATAATGAATACTATGTTTGTATAACTATCTTCATTTTGGAAAGACATTGACTTTATTTCCCTTCCTTTTGTCTTTCAGTTCCTGTTGATTGTACAGCCCCAAGAACACGTGGCCTTAATCTTGAATTGTCATACATCTCAGTGTGTGTTAATCAACTTTTGGAAAGCACACGCGCCCACACACCTCATTACTTACAAGGCAGTTGGCCACATTCCTAACGATGACAAAAGAAACAAGCACAGTCTTCTTGAAAGAGGAAAACATTTACTGGTCTTGACAAAACTATGAATTGAGGACATTGGTTTGGAGAACATGAAAATTGGACATAAGGACATTCTTCTGAGCGTGTTTTTTAAGACATTTTGAAGAATTGCTTTACCTGTTGGGAGCAAAACTTGTTTGGATCAAATAAAACTTTTGGATCAATTGCTCACATGAGCAGAGTTAGGATTTTTTATCATAGGATAATTATTGGCATTCCCATCTGAAAAGGAGGTCTTACATTCTTTACAAGCAAGGAGGCACACATGGGTTTATATCTAATGATAGAACAAAACAAATAGTGTTTGGTTATAAATAGCCAACTTTATTATCATCTCATTTGATGACTGAATTAAATTGGAGACATCCAGCCACTGACGGCCCATTAGAGAGAGTCTTCTCTCTTTGATATGATATGGTAACTCTGGCTGTGGTGAAAATTTATTGTTTTTGGCTGTAAAGGTGCCACAGTGACAGACTCGCATTTCACAGTTACTTTAGATTTTTTTTTTTTTTTTTGGATCCCTGAGTCTTATCTCTGAGTCCTGTACATCTGTTCTTTTTTTGTGGCCATGCAAGTGGAATGAAAGAATGGTGGCGAGAGACCAACCACCGATGCAAAGACTCAATACCTTCCCTCTGTGAGGCTGCCGTTGGACTTGTGCGGAAACAGGTGGCATCCTCACTGTTCAGCCATGTGGTCAGTTTGAACCCTCCGACCCAATACAGCTAGTGTCACATCAGCCTGTGCCTGTTGAATCACACCCAAAGACACTGTTACGTTGTTGTGAACTCACTCGACTCACCACAATCTTTGTTGTGGTGGATGACATTTTGCTAAGACAGAAATAATTAAGTATTGAAAGGGATCATGAGTGTTACTGCTACCTGCTGAAGAATTGACTCAATCGCCATCGACTGACTCGTGGTTTTTTTGCTCTATGTTTGGCAGTGCTTTGTGTTTTTTTCCCCCCCTTTTGAACAATTGCAAACCCGTATAAGAATTATAAGAATCTTCTTTTTGTAGAATTGATTTATCTTTATTTTGTGTGTGTTTTTTTTTTACTTTGTAAGATAGTTAAATGAGTTTTGTTTTTCTCATTTTGAATGCTTTTTGTGTTTACGTTGTTTTATTGTAACAAGTCTCAATTTAGATTTCAGGAACAAAGTGAGTTTTTTTTTTTTTCTTTTGTGCCAGGTGCTTAGAAATGTTAGCAATGACAAAACAAACATCTGGCTGTAACATCACCTGTTTTGATATTGCTCATTTGTTGTTTTTAAATGCCTGTTTCAACACAAAACTGTCAGGCCAGTTGTAATTAGATTTTTCTTCTGTTGGAGAAAGTTTTCTCCTAAAGTTAATGTTTTTCTAAAGCACGCCCCATCTCCTTGCCCTGATGTCGAGCTTACTGATGAGCTTGTTGATTAGTTTGCGGAAAGGGAAAAAGGGGACATGTTCAACCTGCAACAGAAGTCACTGTTTTGTTTTGAACCGAAGCATAAGAAGAATCAAAAAGGGGGGCCTTGGCCATTTTACTGACTTTGGGAGTTTTGATAATGGTTACTCACCAGTGCCTGAATAGTTCTCTGCTACGTGTTGGATAATGTTGCATTCAAGGACTTTTGGGTTGTACCCTTTTTTTTTTTTAAATACAGATGTATAAAACCATATATACTTATGTGACATCCGACTCAGAACATCTATATGAAGGGTGACACTCGTTGAGGCTGGTTTTTCGGAGTCTGTGTCATTAAATGTAAGGTGACTTATAACCTGATGTACAATTTTTGAGAGGCAAACTCACTTATAATTTCTCATCTTTGATGAACTGATTTGTTAAAATTTGTTTTTGTCCTTGACTGGTATGTGCATTAAAGAAATATGCACAGCTGTAAAAATGAGTCTTCATCAGCTTTATCTTTGTAAGCTGGTGTTGATATGTAATAGTGTTTGGTTTACCTCTACATTTTGTCACAAATGTTGCCCTATGAACTGGCCCTTAACATTATTTTCTTTTTAAACTACGTCAGATTTTCAGCAAGGAATAATGTAGCGTGATATGGAAAGTGGCCACTAAAAACTTGTATTTTTTATTTCTTTTATTGAAAGAAGTGTCTGCAGTATCAAAGTATCAACATGCACTTGATGTTCTTTGTTAACAGACTCTTCCTGTCCTCAACAACAGATGACCTGCTTCAAAACTTTGTCTTCACTCATGTTTGAGGACAGCATCTATGTAGGCTATGTCCTCAAAGTGCCTCCAGTTTCCTATTTTTTATATATAAAGTAGATATTGAGAACTGTTGTGTATATAACAGTAATGTAGCAATAAATGTGCCATTTTTAATAACAAAATACCAACGTTTATCCAATTACTTATTTGAGCCCATACGTGAAAAAGCACAAAATTGCAGATCCTCTGCAGAATGTCTAATTTATTCAATATTCTGTTCTAACTTGTGAGGTTAATAGTCGAGTCGAGACGGCCAAAGCAGAAACACTGAGTAAGTTACAATACCTTGATTTGTCCGCTGGAGGGCAGAAACGAGCTGTTACCTCATCTCCATAGAAACTATAATCAACTGCACATACATTATACATTGCAACTTCATTTTTTTTTTTTGTAAGATCTAAAGGAGAGTGGTACAATTGTGCTGGAATATTTCCGTGCACTAGGTTTGTTTAATGAATTAGTTTGAAGCATCTTGAATGCGCGCGCATCCATAAACGACGTGATCCGTAGCTGTAAGCGCAATTTAAACCGAGTGAATAAACTAATGCTCCCAATTTTACGACCTTTCAGAGAGGACCTTCTCATCTTGCTACGATGCCCGCAGTTGCTGTGAGCACAATTTATCCTTTTGTTGACGCGGACCCCTTTCTATGAGTTACCGGAAGTACTTTCCGCACATGCGCACAGGAAACTGAAGTCGGAACTCCTTCGCTTTCAAGCAGCGGCGCGTCGTGTCGTTGGAAGGTGAATTTCAGCCAAAATGATCAGTAAAATGATTGGACAGAAGTATGTGGCAATTGCCAAATCATGGTAAGATGTTCTCTGTTATCTCTCACGAGTGGTTAAATCAGAGTAGAAGTCTTTAAGCAGAGTCTCAGTGTGTCCTTAGCTAACTTTAGCTGTTAGCTTAGCTGAGGTCATTGCTGTAGGGACGTGATGACTTTAGCCACTTGTCAGCTTAATTTAGACTTTAAATGGATCAAATTAAAATGTTTGAAGTGCTAGACAAAGGAAGACGTAAGTTACACTGAGTCGCATTTGTTTCATTATGCGATTGCCGAGAAAAAGGAAGAAATAAGAAGTGCTCCATATAACCAACTAACTGGGGAACTTAAAAGTCTCTTCAGGGCTGAATCTGTTTTTTAATAATGATTTATCAGTCAGTATAGCTTTGTAAGAGTCAGGGACATTTATGATTGTTGTTTTCGCCTGATGACTGTCTCATTAAAGATATATCACCTTTTATTTTACCTTCTAATGTGTTGACACTGCTCTGTGTTTCTCAGGATCCCGACCCTGGCTGTGTGGGGCACAGCTGGAGGAGTAGCTTTGGTCCACTTCACAGACTGGCGGTTGTTTTTGGATTTTGTCCCCTACGTCAATGGCAAATTTAAGAAAGACGAGTAGTGGCTTTCAGGTTAGTGCCATGAACAGCAACGAGATGACGAAGGTAACTTGTGGGTGTGAAAGACGGACATTTTAGTTGTCACTGTTGGAGCATTTAAAAACATTTGGCTTCTGGCACAGTAATCTCAGTCAAAGTAATATATGCGTCCTTTATGCACCACTATCTTTTAAATGTAGGAACACGATTCACTCACTCACTTTTCATTTGATCTGACTTGACATATAAAATAGTTAAGACTCCGATCCCGCACATGTTGTCATTTTCTTGTCTCAAAATGCCCTGTAACTACTACTTTTAACTGAGCTAGATTAAAAAAGAAAAATCTGATACATACTAAGAAACACCCTCCCCATTTACTTTGACAGAACTGCAAGTGAAGAGTTAAAATCTTGTCTTTAAGATCCTGTAAATAATGGTCAGACCTGCATCCAGCACTGGGTGGAGGGTTTCCCCTGTTTCACTAAATCTTTTTTTTTTTTTTTTAAACAAGAATCACCTGTTTAGCCGCAGCCCAAAGTTAGCTGATGTTCCTTTTGATTTAAATACATTGTTTTTCTGAAACTGTTACACAATCTTGCACTCGGTTTCTCTGCGTGAATGTAAAGGCACTAAACTTGTAAACAAAATCTCTACGAGTAGAGATGCCATTTGTAAACGTAACGTGTTACGTTTTCCCCTTCTTCCTGGCTCACCAACACCAGGGGTTTCCGTATGATCTTGCACCTGTTTGCTAAGTAACAGATGTTTAGGTTGTTATTGAGGAATTGAACGCAGCAGGGTGAGACAATACCTGATGCTATATTAAAAAAAAAAAAAATCCCCTAACATCCTGCTTGGTATTTTGATTTTGGGACCATACAGCTTCTTTATTGTCATTTTTTTTTTTTTTTTTTAAATCTAGCAGATATGGATTCACAAATTTGCACAATTAAAATATCTCTGGTTAGACACAAAAGATGCTGCTTATGGTAAGAAAATTGGTTCATGTCAAGTGTGTAATGTGTATAACAAAATTGGTTTGGGGAGTCCCTGATAATGATGGTGGTGGTGGAAACACAAGGCATTTAGGAACGGAGTAATATTTGAAGACAGTATGAGTTTAGTTTAGATTTGTTCGGAGGAGAACCGAGGGAATTTCTATTTTATTTATATCGTTTACAATTTAAGTAAGGCAGTGTAGGGTATTGAGTTTTGCTTCAGTGATGATTTTCAATTTCAGGAAAGAACAAAGTCTCTAACTTATTAAGAAAGATTGTTTTTTTTTGTGAAGTGACATTTTTTTCAACTGAACTTATTGATCCTCCATCCAGCCTAATGCCCATCCTTTCCCCCATCAGGTCAGTGCTGTTTTTTTACACAAAGACTCAAATATTGAACAGAAGCTGTTGCAGCCGGCACCGTGCACTCTGCTCCATCTGCATGCCAACGCCACTGGAAGCGGTCATCTTCATCCTGCAGCTCAACCAACATTCAACTGTGAAACATCAACATCCCGTTTACTGCTCTGGTGTGTGGCATTTCAGCTGTCCTCAACAACTGAGAACCAAGTGGAAGGAAGATGAAAACAGGATGAAAAAATGAACTTTTGTTTTCTTATCCCTCTTAGTTTGTGTTCAGATATTTATTTTTAATCATCACGCTCATGTGAATTGTTGGTGGAACCTGATTTATTCATGGAAAAGTCTGCCTTCCATGTCATGCTGTAATTGTTTTGAAGAGAAGAAGTAAAGTATGTGAAATCTATCTCATTTTTTGTTGAGTATAATTATTTCACTTTGATAATACCTGCTCTAAATATCAGACCGGAATGAAATCAGTGAAGTTTTGCAACAGTTTGCTTGGAGTAAATTCAGAGGATATTGTGATTAAAGATTATGAATGACCATCACTATCCTTTAAGTTTACAACGGATTATATATAAAACATATCTACAGTCTTGTTTCAGAGTAGACCTGACAGTCTTCAGTGCTAATAGATGTTAAGTGTTGTAATCAGACCCTTTAAAGCATCAAAACAGTCTGTTCATGAAAAAGAAGTGTAAGAAAGAGAGAGAGAGAGAGAACATTAACATCTCCTAACTTTTGACTCAAAAATGTTTTTGCTTTTTAAGTGTGTAGCTATGTGTATAAAATATGTTTGTGTTTACAAGTCTTACACTGTTCAAGTGTAACTAAAGTTTGCCAGTAAGTTATATAATTCGAATAAGAGTTATAAAATCTCATACTTGGTTCAGTTTTATAAGGATCCCTTGAATGTAAATTTATAATAATTAAATGTTAAATGATTGCTTTAACAGCATTAGTCCTGTAATAAAGTAAATTAGAAATATATTTACAAACAATACTTTTAGAATCAAAACAAATGAACAATGCAAAGTGAAAGGCCATTGTTATAAGTCTCTGCCTAACTTCCATGCAGCACTAATGTTGTAGTTTGTACATAGCTTCGGCATTAACTGAGTTAATTATTCAGCTATCGTGCCTGGCTTACTGAATGACTCCCAAGTAGTATCGAAAACAACTGTATGGGGGCTGCTAACAGTACAAATCTGCACAAAGTAGTACAACTTAAGTAAAGAACAACAAAGTACCTATAAAATAAGTTAGTGTGATATTTAAAAAAAAAAATACTTTAGAAAACTTTATTTCCAGTTCTTAATGTATTCCGCATACGGACGGACTGTCGGACTATTTGCAGCATTGTCTCGGATGTGTTCCGCTCATAATGCTTGATACGACCCCGGCGGAGTGATCTATAGTTGTATAGATCCTGACGGGAGACAGACAGCAGCGGGGGTCGATAACAAACCAGATTCGGTGAATTATTATGACTGTAGTAATATGCAGCTAGCTCACTTGTAATCTTTTGAACGCCGCAATCTGTGACAAGCAAATTAAGACAACGAAGACCATGGAAAGGAAAAGGTGGGACTTTTAAACGTTTTGTTTTCGGAGTTGTATAAACGAAAGTTTCTCTGCAGGAAATGCACGCATGCAAAGGAGCGTTAAGCAGTTTACTATTACACTTAGCAAAGGGACGTATCCTTTATCACGTACACATTTATGGCTTGAGTTAAACGCTGCCCTAACAACACTTTGAATTTACTACGTTCGGGCAACTTTGAACAACAGTAATTGATACTCTTGTTTCGGTTACGTTGACGTCCCCGACGCTGCTAGCTTGATTAGCTAGCTAAGTTTCATTGTTTACACACGCTTGACTTGCGGTGCGTCGGTCCCCCAGCACGATCACGTCAGTAGCTATAAAAATGTCAGCTGCAACACATTGATCCTGTTAAAACTTGTATATCAAAAATGTACTGCCTCGTGTCGCCCACCACTCCTTAACTCGTTTACAAATCCATTAAATGAGAAGCTACTTCCATGTCAGCACATTGACAAGGCGGTCAGTCTGTTACAGTACAAAGCTGGTACACACCCAAACATACACACAGGTGTTTCGACTCACGCCGGCTGACTACACGTTTTATGAGCCTGAACAGATGGAAGTGATTGACACCTCTCGCCTCCCTGTCTCTACCCTTTCCGATCATCCTTAAACACGGATTTGCCATTAATGGGAGACCTCCTGTAGTCACTGAAAGATCTTCCTGTGATGATGAGTGCGTCTGTTTTTCTTGCAGTGTTCCTGTTCAGCGCATTCTCAACAAGCCGCAGATAGTGCGCAGTCTTGGCAACAACCTTCATTCAAATGTG